CCTTGTGATTTGTCTTTACAAGGGCTTGGTCTAATACGCCCCCACATATCTAGGTCACTATGTGGGAAGATTTGCATAATGCGCCCAAATGTGCACGCAAAGAAAGAAGGCGTGGTTTCAGTAACCGCAGTTAGTGTTGAAGCAGCCATGTCAGGGAGACGCTGTGTGTTTCTAGGCGAAAGCAAAAGGACTTTATTTGGCCTTCCGAAAGTAGATGCATTTAGGAATCTTTAAGATTACTTACAACAGAACAGCAATGCATTTTATGGATGACCGTTTCGTGAACCTAGGAGAGGGCTTTGCTATGACAATCTGGCGCTTCTGAATCAGCTACTGTTTTGTTATTAGTTTAAGTATTTGCTATTGACTGTTCAAATGCGGAGTTTTGCGCATCGTGTGTGTGTGTGTGAGCGTGCGTGCGTGCGTGAGCGAGAGAGCGAGAGAGAGAGAGAGACAGCGTCACATCACAGTAGAGTCAGCTGTCTTAACCGCGGCTTGTGTACTGCATCATCACTGCGTCTGTCAGGCGACTCTGTTGCCCTTTCGGGCTTGAACTGATGGTAAAACTAACGACATTATTAACTGCCTTGATATTTACTTTGAAAGCTGACGCTCGCGATTATGGTAAGGGGCGTTACATTTCCGATGAGTGCTTGCGGTGTTCGGCCAATCATAATGCACTGGGTCAGCTGGCCAATCAGAGCAGACTGCGCTTGTCAAAGGAGGGGGCTTTGTTGAAAACGAAGCGTTTGAGACAGGCGGGGCTAGAGGACCTACAATAATGTACAGTATTTGAAAAATAATGTGTTTTTTGAACATTAAAGCATGTCAACATATTCTGTTACACCAAACACACCAAATAATGATCTTAGCATCATATCAATAGCATCATATGACCCCTTTAAGCAGAGGTTCAAACTCCAGTCCGAACACCACTGGCCACGAGCTTTGGGCCCTGCTCTCACTGAGAATATTTATTTATATAGCATATTTTATTTTAGATGAACTAGAAACAATGTTACATTTATAAAGTTTTATTTTGAAATGTAAGTCAATAACAATTGGCTGGAGCCAGAGCCAATGGTGAAAGTCTTTGCGGAGGAGACCCCGCCCCATTTTGGAGGTTCTGCCCACTTTTGGAGTTCACGCCCCATTTTGGAGATCTCAGGTCTGCAGTTATATCTACTTGGATTCGACTGCTCCAGGCACGTAGATGAGGCCGCCATCGCTAATGAGGCATCTACGTATACATATCTCTGTACTGGACAGTCAGAGAACAACAGCGCTCCTATCTATCTATCTATCTATCTATCTATCTATCAGCATTATTTCTTAAACACTGAAAACGTCAAACATAAAAAGTTAATATAATCTAAAATATAATATAATATAATTCTGCCTCTCTAAAAGAATTAACAAATTGAATTATTGAACAGAAAAATGAAACCATTTTAATTGATATATTGTATAAAATTATACTTCTGCCTCTCAAAAAACGTAAATAAATAAATAACCAACCGGACAGACAAAACACATGTTTTTTTATTTTCCATTTATTGGAAAGTAGGATTGAGAACAAGAATATTAACAAACTTTGCTTCTAACTTTTGCAATGAAATACAGATTTTAAACTACATTCTTTATCTATTGCCCAAAACTACAGCTAAGTGTAGCTAATTTACTATAGCTTAATCAAAACTTCTCACTTAGAGAATCAAGAAAAAATATATAACAATAAAATAAGTATTATTTTCTGAACTACGTACATTACAATAACAGGGTAGACATTTTACTAACTTCTTAATTTACAAGCTCAAAATAGAAACTTGAACTAGTTTGGCACAGAAATGCCACACAAAACCATTTCTTATGAACATGGACACTCCTGCACTGGATCTGATGTAAACCTCACGGTTGAACAGTCTACAATCAACTCTACAAGGGTGTGAAACATTTAATAACAGTGTTAATACTTAATAAAAACATAAAACAAGCCATTGATATACTGTTCACTGCGGTTAGAAATTAATAATGCATAATATAAGGCCACTTCTGTGGCTGATGATGAATTTATTGTCATAATTTACACATATTAATGAGAAATGCCACATTTGTAATTGTTACAATTATTAATCCTCTTTCAGTGCAACACATTTGCACACAAAAAAACATCATCACACATCTAAACCGCTGTTTCCGGCTGCCAGTGTTTTCACAATCATATTCATAGCACCGATATAGCTCCTCCCGTGATTATAGTTGATGTATTAGTTATAGAAGTACAGTATGTTCATCGTCCAGGACATTGTTGTTTATTGGAGTATACTGTTCTACTGAATACCCGTATACTACCTTACAATTCCCGATGTGGCTGAGGGAGCTGAGAGGCTCACGTTACTATTGCCTTTAACGCTTGAATATCAGAAGAAGAGCTGAGCTGATCTGTGATGATGCCGTGGTTAAACCTTAATGATGCTGATGGAGGATGATGTCCTTTGGAACTACAAAAGAGTTAAAATAGAGATTAGAATGAAATGGGGAAATAAACCACACCTGAAGAGAAAACCATTACAGTTCTGAGGCAGAAGTTTTCTTCATTAGTTAACATGAATCAACAATGCAAAATACTTCTTCTAAATCAACTTTTTGGCAATACTTTACAATAAGGTTAATTTTGTCAACATTAATTTCCGGTAACATTTTATAGTACAGCTCCATTTATTAACATTAGTTAATAATATTAGTTAACATGAGCTAAAAATGAAAATCCCTCTAAAGGAACTTTTGGTAACACTTTACAAACTGGTTCCATTTGTTAACGTTAATTAACTACATTAGTTAACATGCTACATATGCACTTATTATATCAATTATAATAACTGGGTAATAACTAGGTTGAACCTACTCCTAAACTTAACCGTAACCCATGTAGTTACCTTAGACTACTCAGTACTTTCTTGGGTAAGTACTAGTGCTGTCAAACGATTATTCGCGATTAATCGCATCCAAAATAAAAGTTTTTGTTTACATAATATATGTGTGTGTACTGTGTTTATTTATTATGTATATATAAATACACACACATACAGTATATATTTAGAAAATATTTACATGTATTTACGTGTATACATTTATATTTATATATTTTATATTATATATAAATATATTTAATATACAAATATAAAATTTTTCTTAAATATATACATGCGTGTGTATTTATATATACATAAATATACACAGTACACACACATATATTATGTAAACAAAAACTTTTATTTTGGATGCGATTAATCGCGATTAATCATTTGACGGCACTAGTACACTGTAAGTACCCGTACTGTAAAATAAAGTGTAACCAAAAATACTACTAATAATAATTTTCAGTAATCCTTTGCAATAATGTTTAATTTCTTAATATCAGTTAACTACATTAGTTAACATGCATGAACCAACAATACAAATACTTTTAAACACAATTTTTGGTAACACTATATGATAAAGTTTCATTTGTTAACATTAGTTAACTATATTAGTTAACGAACTAATAATAAAAATTGCCTCTAAAGCAATTTTTGGTAATTCTCAATAAGATTCCATTTGTTTATATTAGTTAACATAAATAAACAATGAAAAATACTCCTAAAGCAGTTTTCAGTAATATTTTGCGATTAAGTTCCACTTTTTAATAAGAGTTAACTACACTAGTTAACATGAACTAACAATGAAAAAAAAATCATAAAGAAATTTTCAGTAATATTTTGCAATAAAGTTCCATTTGTTAAGAATAGTTAACTATATTAGTTGATATGAACTAACAATGTAAATAAAGTAATTTTCAGTAACACTTCATGATAACTAATTTTGTTAACTAATGGGACCTTATTATAAATTGTTACCAGATTTTCTGTATATACAGAATACTAACCTACTGCATTTTTAAAATCATGCAGTATACAATACTTTATACCGCAATGTAATATGCAATATGCAGACATAAAGTACAGCCTGTTTCTACACTGACAAAATCAAATATTTTAGATTGTGTATTCTGAAGAATGAGAAGGTAAATCCTGGAATTATAGACTTCCTTATTTGACCTTACATTTCAAAAGTGACAAATCAACCAAAAGTAATATGAAGTGTGATTTTTAACAT